TGTATGAAATTTACTGTGAACCTGATGTGCAGAGTAGTAATGAGTATCTCTGCACTGTTCGCTGTGGCATTGCTGCTAGAGATGGAGAAGTTCTTCATGCACTAAATGTCGAAGAAGTTGTTTCTTCACATGTTAAGGGCTTTAACAAAGAGTTGTCTGAAGAAAATAATAGAAGTGAAGATGACTGGGTTGATGTAAAAATTCCTGATTCTTCTCTGTTGGATGGGGGAAACCATGGTTTGCATACAAAATCATGCATTAACTCAGCAAAAAGCAGTCAGGTATGCTGATCCACTCTTTCCACTTAATACTTATTATGTCAGGTCGCTTGATTTCATTACTCATTTTTATTCCTTAGCATTCTTGCTCTCTTTCTTGGAGTGCAACCCCCTGTCATATTTGCTGTCTACCTTGTACGTTTGGGGGCTAAAAAGAAACCAAAAGAATGAAGGGTGAATAATGCATATGATCAATCCAGCAATGGTTCATTCTTTTCCTGATTTATGGGTCTTCTTTTTTAGGCATAGATGGCTTGTTTATAGACTCCCTGATGTACTTGGCATCTTGACCTTCAGTTTGGGCTAAGGAATAGTGTGTAGTTGATTTGAGTGAAATGATTCAATTTTAGGCCCTTTTGCTGTTTGCACAGATGCGAAATGAGGAGAATTGAGAAGACTGAGGAGCAGATGAAAATTAAAGGAAGATTGAAAGTTGTGTTTTGTTATATTTTCTTCAACCATCCTACTTCTTTCTGACCTAATGATGTTTTATTGATCCAAAAAGAATGGGATTTCCTTTGTGTTCTCTCCTTTTCTTTTCTTTTCTCTTTGTTTCTTAAATTGGCTTGTGATGAATTGATGTATTTTCTTTCACTCTTGGTCAATCTAAAATGAAAATACAAAATATGTACATGCATGGCAAATTTTATTGAGAAAGAAGAGCCTTGAAGTATGATGAAACCTTATTTGTCTTTGGAGGATGCTTTGAATTCCATGTGGACTTATCTCTTCTAATAATTTTTTTTTGGACCAGAATCTCTTCAAATAATTAATTCTTTTATTTATAAAATGATCACAAATTTGGCATTAAACAATAGCAGCCATAACCAAGATACTTTGGCATATTGTGCTTTTTTGGCTTTTTCTTTTTCACCACGTTCCTTTCCTTTTATTTCTTTCTATTGGAAGATAACTTTCCCTTAGTTGTGGTTTTCCTCTATTTTTCTTGAGTAATTTTTCTTCTTTTATAATAGTGAACAAGCTGATTGATGGAAAATTTCAGGATCTCTTTGAGGCTACTGCAGAGATTTCTGATGTAAATCCTTGCATGTCTGTCACACTTCGTTTGCTTTCACTCCAGAATAAAGGCTGTGTTTGTATTGATGAGATTTACGTGTTTGCTGATCCTGTTGCTCTAGCTGATTCTGAAAGACAAGAGAGTAATGCAGAAAACTCATCTGGCAGTTCTCTCATGGCTATGTTTCTTCCAACTTTGATGCAATTATCAAAGACAACTGCTCTGAGCCACATACATGAGGAGCATCCACCTGTTACAAAGGAAAAACAATATTTTCCAGAAGTTGATTTGGGAAAAAGCTGTCCATGTGACTCTGTAATTAACATCCAGCTGGAAGGAAGAGCTAGCAAAACTGACCATCAAGAAGGGGAGCTGCAAAAGGTGAATGAAGATAGTGGGGGCCCATCTCAATCAGACTTGCTCTTGCAAGATGCTCCTTTTGATAGCAATCTTATGACAACCTCCCAAGCCGATAAAATGGAGAACAATCAGAGTGAAACACCCTCAAAAGCTGCCAAAATAGAGAGCAATTATTGTGACTTACCCTCGGAAGCTACTACAATAGAAAAAAATCATGGTGACTCTCTGGGTGTTAATGTGGCAAAGGCACTGGAACAGCTTGTGTCTCGAATGGACAGGATGGAAGCAATCTGTTTGGGCTTTCAAGAAAAAATGCTAATGCCCATAAGCAGCATTGAGGCTAGGCTCCAGCAAGTAGAGCAGCAACTTGAAACACTGACCATCAAATTACATAATTCTGGATTGCCGCCATGCTCTAGAATTTATGCTCCAGATGGTTCCTGCATTCAGTCAGATGCTAACTCATTTGGCAATTGTCATGGTAATAAAGTCACTGGAGGATTAAAACCTGACAAGAACGGTTCTCACATTGAAGTACTATGTGTCTCTCCTGATGATATGTCTGATTCAGCAAATGCCACTCAATTGCACCCTGGTCTTTTAGTTACAGCTCCTGAGTTTCTTGATGCTGAGGATGAAGAAGAAAGTATAACATCGGGATTAGAAGCAACTTCAAACGATAAACAGAGGCAGCATTTGTCAATTGATGATGCTGTAGCTTCTGCATTAGCAGGATTTTTATCTTCTGTATCTTCAGAAACTCCAAGGTATACCAAAAGTCTAGTAGTCAGAGCCCCTGAATTTATAAATGAAGATGATCAGGAAACTAATGATGCTTCACCTAGAACTTCGTATGAGATGGAGAATAATGATGATTCAACCCATCTCAAAGACAGTAAGAGAATTAATTGCACACAAGAGTCAACTTCACACAGTGTTCATCCAGAAAGAGGGGAAAAGGTGAACAGAGATCCTAATGATGAAGCATCGGAAGGGTTTGCCAGGGAAGCTGAAGAATATGGCCAACATAATGCTGCAGAAGATGACCAGAAAGAGGTGGGCCTTGAAGCTGGCGTTCTAGCTGAGCATAATGCAGGAACAAGTTTCGAGCATACTGTGGAGGATAAGAAAAGCAGAAATACCAGTGGTCAGATAGATGATGGTTTGCCATCCACAAGTGACATTCCTAAGCCATGTCAGACTGATAGTGACCCTAGTGCTTCCACTGAGGGCGAAGTTTGTGTAAGCACTGACCATACAGACACCATAGCAACAAAAGTCCCAAAAAAAGCCTCTCATGAAGATATTATAGAGAATATTCTTGGATTTTCCCGCAGCTCCTCTGTGGTGGATTTCAAAACATCTCTCTTAGATGTAAAATTCATTTCGCAGGAACATCATGTTACCAAGCCTTTACTTGAAGCTCTTGTTCACACTCCAGAAAAGAGCTTTCAGGATCATCATGTCGGGGGAAACAGTGATGAACTTCCCATTGACGAACAATTTAAGACCAATGATAATCTTTCACTTGCAGAGCTGAATAACTTAATAGATGTTGCAGAACATGTGAATCCAGCTACTGATGGCCATTTTTCAGTGGATAAAGATTATTGTGCTTTGATAAATGTGCCTGTGGAAGTTGAGGGTGATAACCTGCAAGACGACCGTAAACGCAAACGCAAGGAGGATGAAATTGCTTCTTCAAGTCTCATATGAAGTAGGGTGATAATCTGTTCTTCTCTGTTTGTTTTGAATCTAGTTTATAATCTGGGTAATCGTTTGCATGAACTTGCGTTTCTTGCAATCTCCTTTTGAATATATTCTCCTCTGTTATTAGCATGTCTTTTATTTTTTTCTTTATTTAGTTGTTTTTTCCTTGGGGTTACACAAGTCAATAATAGGATGTTTGGGGGAATTTTCTTAGCCGCTGCTGATCTTATTTAGTGTCTTTGTAAATACTAAACAGCCAATGACATCTTTAATCTGAATTCAGCATTATAGTTCAGTATTTATTCCTTTTTATGCATTTATATATTAATAGAATTTGCTCAGTATGTTATCTAAGTGCTATGAATTATGATTGTTTAATAAATTGGAGAAAAAGCGAAAAGGATTGGTTTACTTGTGAATTGTCAGCATTTGACGTGTGACTATTGTGCTATTCAAGTTTCTAATACAAGTTAAGAATTTTTTTTTTTTTTGTGTTTGTCTCTCCTTCCCTCCCTGAAAATGATTTGAATGGGTAAATAAATCAACTTTGTAAATATGAAAATTTTGTAGAAATATATTTTCTTGGTTTTGATTATGGCAAAATTAGAGAAAATTTTACATTTAACAGGTTTAGTTTACTTAGAAATATGGTAAGAAAGTAAATTTGATAGCTTAAAATTCCTCTCTTCGTTTTGTCAAATTCTTGATTGCTTTTTGGTATTCAAAATTAATTCACGCTCCAATCAAAACTCACATGCGTATTTCAGTTTTTGCCTCGTTCTCATTCACATGTGAATCTTTTTGCATACACGCAAGTTTCAGTCTTTCATTTTTTTCAATCTTCCATATTTTTGTTTTGATTCTTCAAAGTTTCTAATGTTATTGGTGTTTCATTAACAATCTTCCAAGTTTCTTAAAACCTTTGAAGTTTCAGCAGCTCCTGCACTTCTGTCTGATATAACTTGTCTAATTCTTCAAAGTTTCAATGCTAATAATATTTTGAGGCTTTTGGTCTAAACTTTGAAGTTCCTCCTAAACTTCCAAGTTTCTTCATCTTACTTTGATTCTCGAAGCTCTAGAGTTATGTTTTAACTTGAGTGGGTGATACATTACCTTTATAAGAGAAAATGTTCCAAACTTACATAGTTAGTTTGGCTAGTATTGAGACATCCAAGATCCCAAACCAATCTTCAAAATTATAGTGAAAAATCACAAAAGACAAACTTGAGATTGGACACAAGCAAGTGGTTTGGTTGATCAAAATAAATTCTTGCGATTTTCTCTTTTCTCTACTTCAACATCTACATTCTAAGGTGATATTATTCTTTATCTTAAACTCTTTAATTAAGTCTTATTTGCCAAAACATTTTATTAAGCCCAATTTACCCCCTCCTAAACACTTTACAAATTTGACTTGTAAATATTAAATTATTAAAATTTTTGTTTGACCGACTAGTTATCAGTTGACCACCAATCAATAGCAGGTCAACGCTTCACTGGCTACAGGTCAATCGCTGCTCCATTTTAATGTACAGTCAAATTGTCGAGGATGAAGGACATACAATTTGATCATTATGATGCCATTTTAAAGCTTGTAAGTTGTAACAATTTCGACGTGACAACAATCATCCAAAACAAACAGTTAACATTGTCAAATGGATTGGATAGGACAGGATGCTGTGCAATGCATTTCTTACAAAAGAGAGGCCATCAATTAACAACATAACCCATGTCACCATGACACAAATCTTACACAGACGAAAAAGAATAGCAATTCTTAACAATCATGTAGCTTACTTGTGTTGCATCAAGAAGTTTTCTGGACATTTCACTTTGATGATAACAAATTTCTACTTCAAAAATTAAAATAAATATATCCTCTTCCCCTTTTTTTAATCTACTCCTGAATGTCTCATATACATTAACTTTTGTCAATATAAGAAATTTGGATTGAAAATATTAGAATAATGCAGAACAGCACTGGAATCCTTTCAACATTTATCTATAACTAAATTCCAGCATTGGAATCTCTGCATTGCAATCCTTCTTTGATATTTTCACTAATATTTAATTGACCTCTCCAACTATTTGCGCAAGACTTTCAAAGAGATAAGCTTTGTGTGAGGATCTTATCACCAACATTACTTAGGATTGTTCAAAGTTGCATTGGAATTCAGTGACATAACAGAAGCTCAAAACTTGTACGCATCCCTGAAAAACATGAAACAACAGCACATACGATTAAGATTCGAATTGTTATTAATGTTTACAAGTGCATCATTTATCTGCACATACCCACTTCTCGTAGAGTCCAAATTGTGTCAACAACAATTTGAAGATTACAAACTAAACTTCAAAGACTTGTCTGTATATATATTAGAAAATACATGGGCATATCATGTAAAAGGTGATAACACCTCGACAAAGAAGAAACGGAATGCCTGCCTAAGAAAAACAATATATAATCATGCTAATTCTTCTTCTAAGATGTAGAAATAAGAGACACTGTAAGCTTGTGAAATTAGAGGAACAAAAATAGAAATCTCAGGTCAAAAAAGAAAAGACAGATAGCAATCAGCAATAAAAAAGAACTAAAAAGATTGTAAGCTTGTGAAATTATAGGAACAAATTATCTTGTTATGATTTCCCCCCCCCCCCTGAATTCAATGACCAAAGGTTGAAAAAGGTATGGCAAAGTTTGAAACTTAAATATCCAATTCTTGTCATAATTTCAGCAATGAAAAGAAAATGAACAACAATAATGCAGTGTTTGATAGGCAGAAAAGTCTTTTTCAAAAAAAAAAAAAGAAAAAAGAAATGGGAAATGCACTTTTCCCATTTTCTTTCTATGTACATTTTTTATTTCTTTTCTAGAAAACACTTTTCCGTGTACCAAACATTACTTAAAGGCCCTTTTGGTAGACGGAATGTACTTTGATGGAAAGCAAGGGAAGAAAAGGGACAGCAAGGGAAGGGACAATTTCTAGCCGCATGCTTGCTTGGCATGCAAAGGAAAGAAAAGGGAAATGATGAATTAAAGAAAAATAAATATAAAATATAAAATACCCAAAACACCCCTCACATAATGGGGAAAAAAAGCCCCCTCCCTCGTCGCTGATAAACACTTCACAAATTAAAAAAAAAAAAATTCAGATCCACAGCCACAATTAACATTCCCAACAAAAGAAAGTTCAGATCCACATTTCAAAACAAATGAACAAATGAAAAATGAAAAAACAAAAAAACAAAAAAAAGCCAGATGAAGCTTTGACGGGCACTCATCAACCCATTCCATTGTCGCCTGGGAAGAAGAGAAGCAGATGATGAAGGTTGAGGCTGGAGAGATGACTGCCATCATTGGGGCAGGAAGATAGGACGACACCATCGCTAGCTTTAGGTAGATCTATTGGACAACGAGCAATGCCGTTACTGATGAAGGAGGAATAGGACGACGGACCAGCAAGATGAAATGAAGGAAAGCATCTGGCAAACTAAAGAAGATGAAAAAGGCAAGGGGTATGCAGAATGAAGAAGATGAAGAAGGCAGCCATTTTGGTCCTTTCTCAAATTTTCCTTCACAGGAAGATGCGTTCCCTAGCCTACCTAAAGGATGAGCGGTTCCCTCATGTGATGGAAAATATGCTTTTCATGGAAGTCTTGTTCAGGCTACCAAACTGACATTGTGAAGGAAAATAGCCCATCTTCCTTTTCCTTAGGTAGATTTTCAGGCTACCAAACGGCTTCTAAAGCCTAAGTTTCTTGCATCCCATGCTATCAAGCCAAAGTTTATCTTCACAAAAATCTATTGAAGCAAGTCAAACCAACATTTAGAAAATGACCACATATCACCAGCTCCATAAGCATTATGTAAAGGATAACAGAACACTGTCCTAGAACAATAATGCTCACAAGCCACTTTTGCCTTTTCACTATAAGAAAATTCTATAGTACCATGTGACCATGTCTAGTGACTTATAGATTAATCATAGTAGTACCATTAAATTTTCTTGTCCTGGATTATATTATTTTCAAGTACAAACACCAGAACTTCAATATGGAAGAAAATTTTGGAACTTTTTTCAGATAACCTTCGAATCATTTTAGTATGATCATCACATGGGTATTACTTAAAAACAATACTAAATTACAGGACAAGAATCATCCCCAAATACCCAAGACTCTGAAAGGTTCCAGGCAAGAGATCAAGCAAAGACATCATTGAAGGGTAACAAATGTCAGCAAAAAGAGCCTGAATGTCATAGCAGTCTAATTTGTATTGGAATCAGCTCGCCAGAGTGACAAAGATGAGCTCAAGAATGAAACTCAGATGGACACAAACCCAATCAGCTCAAATAATTCAAGAATGGAAGAAAAAAAAAAAAAAAAAGGATATACCTATACAATCCCATGGATCTACTTGATAGAAGAACAATAGAGGTTCCTTGTGTTCATAGGCCATTGTGATGCCTCCTGTTCTCTCTAATCTCGATGGTGCTGTTTCTTTCTTTCATTTCTCATATATCTCCCTCTTGATTTGTTTCCTTTTCAATTGAATGCTTCTTCTTACACCCGTTGCAGCAACTCTGGATGTGATCTGAGATAAGATAAAATCTGAATTTTGAGACTCCAATTTACATATAAAGAGAAGGACAAAAAAACAACAAAGCAGAGCTCAAGAGGAAATCAAACTATTCAAGGCATGTGAATAGTTCAGTGTCCTTCAACTTTTATATTTAATCGAATTATAGAGTTAAGAGGTTTACTTGCTACGTGCTATGCTGTTTCCTTTAAACTTTGTTCGGTCAACTGGCAGTAGGAGGTATTATCATGTAGAGGTAGCATTGTTCCTTGTAAAAATGAGTAGATTCATTACATGCCCGAGGGTATTAGTCAAATTGGATTACTTTTCATCCAATTCTTTCTTTTTCTTCACTTGGAAGAAATGAATCCCAGCTGCGCAACAATAAAATCTGAGGTCAAAAGGGTGCTAAAAATCAAAGTTTTTGACGTATCATGGAAACAAATTGCTCGGCAGCCATGCAGCTATAAATCTCCTAACTTGTATGACTCATCCAATTGGAACCTTGATCCATGAAGGGCCTTACCAATCAAAAGATCAAAACATCAGAGATCTCAAACAAGCTGCAGGGGAAATACAATCGCTAGATACAGAAAAGAAATTGACAATTTTTAGGTTTCACTGGAAAATTTTTCATCATGCATAAACTTTGCATCTGCCATCATCTTGGATAAAAAGCATTAGCTAAAATCAAGATCAAAACCATTTTATCGTTTACTATTAGCCTTTAAAACCAAAAATCTCCTGTGAAAACAAGAAATTATAATACTGGCATACCATATTATATGCAAATTCTGAACTCATTAAAATTTGGAATTTTTAGCCGACTACTTATAAAGAGAATTGAAAATCACCCTTCCATTTGTGTGTGGCTATTGACAATGGATGACAGTTAAAATAACAATTAATAAAAACACTGTAAAAGCACTGAACAAAGTTTCATTGACATCAGAATTGTACTTGCTCACAAACATGCGTTGTGGTTGCTAAAAGTAATATGCATATTGTCAAGGATTAAAATGGTTAATAGACATGCAAGTGTAACAGTGGGAGGATCAATACATGAAACCTTTTCTTCTGCGATATAGATATGCTATTTCAAGCTTTGGTACATGAAAGTGCATATAGATTCTAAATGCACAAGAATAAAGCAACATGGATTGTGATTGTCATATTTAAATGGCTGAAGAGATATATGGTATTGCGACATGTTGTATGCGGAAATGGCATGGTTTCTAACTACATAGGAGTTCATCTGTTCATTCTTTTTTCCTCTGTGACTCAGTGTCTTACTTGATATTTGATAGTCTCCATTACTTGTAAAAGCACAATATTGCCAAAATAAGAAGATAATGAAGTTTGAGGAACGGAGCTTCAAATATGAAGGATTCAAAGGGATAATTTTCGTGTGAAAAATCAGAGAATAAGCATAAGAAAACAAAGAACAATTATTTGAATATGTCTTCCATGTGAGCTTGAAATGGAACTTGGACTTTTCATGTTTATAAAAGGCATAGTTAAAGACCTCTTACAATTGGCATATCTGCATTTGTCAGTGGATGGTAAGACATTTTCAATGATTTAGATGTCTGGTTCTCAACAAGAGTTTGCTTAATGTGGGCAGCCTCCCCAGGCATTCCAGCCTTCAAAAGACAGGATCTCAAAGAATTTACAGTGATATCATCAGGAGCACAACCAACTGCCAACATCTTATGAAAGATATCAATTGCTTCAAGCATTCTTCCTTTCATACAATGCCCAATAATGAGAATAGTAAACGTCGCCTTATCATGTTTGCACCTTTTCTGCTCCATTTCTGCTACAATTGCATTAGCTTCATCAACATTCCCAGATTTGCAATATCCATCAATGACAGGATTATAAATGAATGGTTTTGGAACAACATCCCTCTGCTTCAATAATCTTAAAAATTCACGAGCTTCATGCAATCTGTTGTTCTTGCACAAAGCACTGATAAGAACAGAGAAAGTGTACAAATTTGGGAGGATATTTTTGGCATTCATTTCATGCCATAAGTCTAAGCCATGTTTCACCTGTCCAATTCGACAGTATCCATCAATCAGGGAAGTATAAGTGACAACATCAGGAGCAAAGCCATGAAAGAGCATCATTTCATGCATGGATAGTGCAGATTTCATGTCACCAGCCTTGCCAAAGCCATCAATAAGAGCATTAAAAGTGACTTCATTAGGTTTAACTCCAGATCTAATCATTTCATCATAAAGGCTAGCAGCCTCTTCCATCTTAGTCAACTTGCTATAACCAGATATTATTGTTGTGTAACTAACAACATCAGGGGCAAACTGACCTTTTAAATAAACTTGTTTTAGTAGACTCTTTGCTCTACCGACCTCATTAATTCTACAAAAACCATGTATAAGAGTGTTAAATGTAACTATATCAGGGGAACAACCACAATTGCTCATGTCATTGAGCAACTTTATGGCTTCATCAGTTTCTCCTGCTGTGCACAGACCTCGCATTAAAATATTGAAGGTGCATGTTTCTGGACGAAAATGTGATCCCACATGCTCCCTAAATAAGATGATGGCATCGTCTACTTTTTTCTGTTTTACCAAGACGTTGAACAAATCATTATAAACAACAGCACTTATTTCAAACTTACTGGACTTAAAATCATCAAGCAATTCCTTCGAAACATTAAACCTGTCTGCTAGTGCGTAAGAGGACACCAAAGACCCTAATAGCCAACTCTCAGGTAAGTGTCCTTCCAACTTCATACAGTCATACACCATTTTTATAGAATCGTAGAGACCATCTCGACAGAGAGAACTCAAAAGCAAGTTATAGGTCAAGCGGGAATGAGTAATATTCAATCTTTCCCTACTTAACGCAAAGAATCTCAAACCCAACTTTGGATTCTTTAGCCTCTTAATAACCTCAAAAGCGAGTGAAGGAGTCAAGAAGTTACCAAAGTAGCCCAAAAACCTATCCAATGAGTTTGAACGGACAAAAACAGTACACACAATCTTAACAAACCAAGCTTCGGCTCTTCTGATGAACTCTTTATCCTCCAAAGGCCTCGGGTCAGATCTTCTCTGAACAAGACCATGGTAATGGCAATGGCTATCTTGGAAACTGAAACACTCGAAGATTGGGATGTGAAGAAAAAGAGGGTCGTCCGCTTCCCCACGCCATAAATGGAGTCGCTCTTACGCCCACATATATAGTCAGTTCCTGTATTTCTTCTCGCATCTCTGGATTTCGTCCAAGGTCTTCTATTCAAACTCCTAAATTTCATCGAGATGGCGGCAAAAATGGTATAGCAAACATGGGACACCTTATTACTCTGCTCTATTCAGAATTTAGACACTGAAAGGGGATGGAGGTGTGCTGGGAGCGAATGCAAGACACCTATGACGACGAATTTGCTGCCAAATCGAAATCAGTAGCAATCCATTAACCATAAATTGAATAAAAATCCCAAATTGATATGGTCGGAAGAAGGGAATCAGCAACCATTCGAGGAGGACAAGGATTTGCAACGAAAGCCTTACCATCAATGAGAATGACGGACCAATGAAGAAAATAAAAACCCAAACACTCACTACTGTATTTAGAGATGCAAAAGAGGAATATGAGAGAGAGAGAGAGAGAGAGAGAGTTTAGAAGATGACCAACAATAGTGGTCTGCTTCCGTCGCTCTCCCTTGCGGCGTGAGTATGCATCAATTCAGGGGAAGGGAAGTAGGGAACACACCCAGGGAATTTTTTTTTAATTCAAATTTTATAAAATTTATTTTAAATTTATAGTATTATATTATAAGTTGAGAATTTTAATTTTAATTTCTTTTAAATAAAAAATTCGTATTATTATTTATTATTCATTTATTCTTCTAAATAATATTAATTTTCTGGTTTTATCTGTTAGATGTGGGTTATCATGCATTAAGAACGAACAATATTGTTTTGATTAGTGGGCTCTCATATTGTTTCAAGTTTTAACTAACCTTTCATAAAATTATTTTATGTTTTATTCTTTTTAGGTAAAAACTTATTAAATTCCTAAATAAAATATGAGCTTTTTTAAAAATTTAATTTAATTTTTTAAAATTTTATATGCTTGAAACAAAAAATGATCCAAATTGATATAAATTTCGAATTACTTAATAGTTGTAAACAATAAACTATAAAGCTTATTTTCCACATTATGTGTTAGAATGGAACCAATCTCTGATTATTTTTTTAGGGTTGAAATTTAATTTTGCTCTTATATTTATTTTTCAAGAATGCTAAGCATTTTATACCTTTAAGTGGGATAATTTTTTTCTTAAAATATTTTTTTGAGGTCTAAAAACACCCTTCTATTGGCAGGTTGTTAAATTTTTTGTTTTCTACTAACATGAATGTTCATTAGGCCGACATACAGTAACAAGTAAAACTTTGACAATGTCTTTTGATGTTAGTTTATCATTAAATTATTTTTTCAAGAGCGTTGAGCATATTAAGGTCTTTCTATAAAAGCACTGTGTCATGAATGATATCTTCGTGATCGTGTAAGACCAATGTAATAAACGATCCCACTGGTTAGCCTCGCACAATATGGGTAAAGGGGGTGACATTGGCATTGGTGCATTCTGCCTTAGTATTCGAGCTAAGTGCACAACTGGTCGGGGGCTAGTGCCGCCTCCCTGATGAGCCCATGGCAGGGCGAAACCAGTAGAATTCGTATGTGGTAAGGCTTGTTTCGAGGATTATGGGGTCCTCAGGACGCCGCACTAGTGCCGTGTGTTGCGCCAGACTTTAAACCCGTGATAGAGTGGTATCAAAGCAGGACGTACTTTACTGTCGTGTGCCTGTGGAGTCCCACGTTGGGACTAGTTGATCTCAACACCGCTCCAGTAGGCCTGTGAGGTGCAAGTGGGTCCAAAAATAGGGACTCGGGCGGGAAGGTTGGCCGTGGTCGACTTACTCCTGTTGGCTCGCGGGTGCGAGTGGGTCCGAAGAGTGCTGAACTCAGGTGGCCATTTAGCGGTGAGCTGATGTGTGTGTAGCAGTACTGTACAGGATATCCTTGGGCGGAGTCTTTCTCCCCTAGCACAAGGGCGTGCTAGATTGGGTGTGGGAGAATGTCACGAATGATATCTTCGTAACTGTGTAAAGACCAATGTGATGAACGATCCGCTGGTTAGCCTCGCACAATATGGGTAAAGGGGGCGACATTGGCATTGGGTGCGTTCTGCCTTAGTCTTCGAGCTAAGTGCACAACTGGTTGGGGGCTAGTGCCGCCTCCCTGATGAGCTTATGGCAGGGCGAAACCAGTAGGATTCGTATGTGATAAGGCTTGTTTCGAGGATTATGGGGTCCTCGGGATGCTGCACGGGCGCCGTGTGCTGCGCAGACTCTAAGCCCGTGACAACTGGATACCTTAAAGTCTTATTAAAATAAGGGGGAATGGCATTAAAGGCCTTAAAGATAGACTTTATTATAATTTGGGCCTAAATGAATCTAATTTTGCTCTGCAGGCTTTGGGGCTTTTATTGCCAATTTTCTTGAGGCCAAAAGTACGATTTTCCCTTTATTTGATTTGAATTCAAACCTGTGTGAACCTTCAAAATAACGAAATAGACCATGTACAACACAATATTCACTATCCACAAGACGATATCCACGCATGCTCAACAAAAAATCCATGCATTTTAAGTATTTCACTAGCCTTGGCTTTAACAAAAATGGCTAAGCAGATCATGCACGACACAACATCCACTATACACAAGACGATGTCTATGCATGTTCAACAAAAAATCCATGCATTTTCAGTATTTCACTAGCCTAGGTTATAATAAAATGATGTTAGGCAGACCATGCACAACACAACATCCACTATGTACAAGATAATGTTCACACATACTCAATAAAAAGTCCATGCATTTTCAATATTAAGAAGGACAATTACACTAGATATGAATAATTTTATGTTGGTATTAGTCTAGGTACTAAAATAAATACCACATGAAATTTAACATAATATTTCAAGTCTGATATATACAAAAAGTTAGTCACTATATCTAAAATATTTAATAGTTGCTTCTCTATATACAAATAAAAAATATATGTGATTCCTAATTACCCAAAAATATTACTTGGGAATGCTTTCATATACATAATTATGGTTGCCTATGTATACTAAAGAAGTACAATGTAACTACTTCTCATGCTAAGTTAGGATTCTTGCATGTCTTACGACTGTGTTTAGCCTCCCCACATCTTGAAAAATAATAAATCTTCTTATCTTGGAAGATTCTATCCTCCTTATTCGTGGCCTCCCGGGAGTACGGCTAGTTAAAGACGGTTGCAAAAAAAAAAAGTTTGTGATATATTCTTACCGAAAGTCCATGTGGTTTCAATTTATCATTATGCTAGGCTTAACAAAATACTAAAGTTAGGAAAATAATACATAATACAATATCCACTATGCACAATATAAGGTTCATTTATTATCAACTAAAAGTCCATACGATTCTACTTTATCAGTAGACTAGGTTTAATAAAATGCAGAAGTAAGCAAATAATACACAACACAATATCCACTATACACAACATAAGATTCATATATTCTCAACTAAAAATCCATACGATTTTACTTTATCAGTAGACTAGACTTAACAAAATGAAGAAATAGACAAATAATGCATAACACAATATCTATTATACACAATATAAGGTTCATTTATTCTCAACTAAAAGTTTATATGATTTTATTTTATCAATAGGCTAGGCTCAACAAAATGCACAAATAAGCAAACAATGCATAACACAATATCCACTATGTACAACATAAGGTTCATATATTCTCAATTAAAAGTCCATACGATTCTACTTTATCAGTAGGCTAAGTTTAATAAAATACACAAATAGGCAAACAATATATATAATACAATATCCACTATGCATAATACAAGGTTCATATATTTTCAACTAAAAGTTCATACAATTCTACTTTACCAGTAGTAGGCTAAGCTTAACAAAATACACAAATAGGCAAACAATGTATAATGCAATATCCACTATACACAATACAAGGTTCATATATTCTCAATTAAAAGTCCATATAATTCTACTTTATCATCAGTAGGTTAAGCTTAACAAAATGCACAAGTAAACAAACAATCTATAACACAATGTCTACTATGCACAATACAAGGTTCATATATTCTCAACTAAAAATTCATATATTTCTAGTTTATCAGTAGGCTGGAATTAACAAAATGTTCAAGTTAGGAAAACAATGTATCGCACAAAATTCATTGTGCATAACACAAGATTCATATACTCTCAACTGAAAGTCCATATGATTCCAGTTTATCAGTAAGCTAAGTTTAACAAAATGCTCAATTTAAACAATGTATAACATGGTATCTACAATTCACAATACAAGGTTTATACATTCTTAATTGAAAGTCCATGCGATTCTAGTTTATCATTAGGTTAGGCTTAACAAAAAGCTCAACTTAGACAAATAATATACAATACAATATCACTATGCACAACATAAGGTTCATATATTCTCAATTGAAAGTCATATAGTTTTGAACTATCACAAGTTTTAGGTTTCAGGTTCAAAACAAGGAGCACATTAAAGCTTTATGACTAAGTGCTAAATAGTCCTATTTTTTCATGACAAATGCACAAAGTCTATAACAATATTATGTTTAGCTAAATTGTCACAACAGGCATGAAAAAAAAATGATATGGACAATAAACAAGGCTTGCAAGATTTTTAAACAAGAGCATCTAAAATATCTTTCCTTAGCCAAAACCACCTCCGAATTAAAGCTTGCAAAGCTGTGTGGTTTCACGTTCATTGTGCATAGATAAAACACATCTGGATGTGCTGTTTGACTAAAACTAAAGAATACAATCTTATCGATAAAGCATGTCAACTTTCAAAAACTAGAATGATGCAAAATGATGCAAACTACTATAGGCTAATACAAAGCAAAGATTTATTGTCTGTTAGCACAAAGCATAAGTTGAAAAAAGGAAAACTAAGTGTTAGCATTCTTTTCTAGTGATATGTGAAGTAAGGGAAAATGAGGGAGAGAACTTACGAGAATGCACAATAGGGGAGGAATAAAGAAGAAGAATGAATGGAGAGGAAGATCCCAACTAGCATAGTCCTCCTCCAACAGTAGCAAGGGGCTAAGTTCCAAGGGTCACCGCAATCAACAGCGATCAACAGCAATCAACAACAACTCAATGCAAGGAAAGAGATGAAAAATCATGATCTATGGTTGAAGTATTAACAGCCAAGACTTCTACACTCGTCCACGTCGATGATAGTCAACAATGACAAAGCGACGACTGAAGAAATGAGAAAGAAGAAATAGAATTCATTGCTTCAAGTTTTTCATGTAGGTTTTCTGAATTCAAATCAAACAAAGGAAAAAAATCATATTTTTGGTCTCAAGAAAATTGGCAATAAGGGCCTCAAGGCCTGCAGGGCAATATAAGATTCATTTAGGCCCAAATTGTAATAAAGTTTGTTTTTAAAGCCCTTAGTGCCATTCCCCCTTAAAATAAAATTTAATGAATATTGCCAGAGTATTAAATATTTTCATATTTAATAATTTAAATATTATTATTTATAAATATTCATTCAAAATTTATAAATTACTTTTTAAATATTAACAATTCAAATCAACATTTTATAAATCTATAGATGACTTT